AACCACAGATTTTGCAGGTTAAAAAGTAGTCTTATACGCAGGAAAATAAGGCAATACGTCTATTAGTATCCAAAACCTAATACAGTATTCTCTTTTCAATATTCTCTTAGTAATGGAATAGTTTCACTGGCTATCAGTCTGTTTCCAGACAGAATTCATAGTGCTTGTTATGACCCTTAAATTCTGGCTTGGGTCCATGCTATCTAAAAGACCATACTTCCCTATATGAGCCTGTCCACATTTAAGATATTAACGGGAAGGCTTTCTCTTGGTTCCACCACCATTATAGGGACATTTGGTAAGGATCCAGGAGAGCCTTCTCAATGACTGCTTCCAGATTGTGGAATCCCTTCCATGGGAGGTTCAGTTACCACCATCCCTTTACTTTTCCTGGCAGGATAAGACCTTCTTATTCAGGCAGGCTCTTGGTTTAAAATCTATGCAACAGAAAGGGGTTGTGGCTTTTAATCTTTTTTATTATGATCTGTGTTTTTATATTGTTTTAGTCTTCTGCTTTTAACTGCAATATTTAATTATTTTTAAATTTTGTAGAAATAATGTTTTAATTGTACTGTTGTTGTTTTTAAATGCTGTAGAGTTCCCCGGAGCCTACAGTGGGGGAAAGGCAGAATATAAATCAAATCAAATCAATCAATCAATCAATAAGGATACATTCAGAAAGGAAAACTTGCACTCCATGCAGGGTTGTAAAATTGGAAATGCACAAATGTTTTAACCTACCACAGACTCATAGTCATGTCAGGATGCTACTCCTACAGAGAACAGATTATTTTGATCCACTGCTAATTGTTCCAACAGATGTCTCATTGGGGGGGGGGGGCATCATGGACTCCACATTTAAAACAAGAATGTAAAATAGCCTAAATGATAACTGAATTAAGTGTGACAGGGTTTCTCCTAAACCAAGAGTGAGGCATCTTTTTTTCTGACAAGAATCACACTCCATTGGGCGTAAAATGTCAAAGTCTCTGTGCAATCATCCCAGTGCTCCTTATTCTTTTCCTCCTTAACCCTATTCCTCCTTGTGGGACATACTGCTTTAGCCAGAGGTATAGAAGGACTCTGCAGATGGTTTAACCTCACCTCCCATTTCATTTCTCTGCCCTTTTCAGCCTCTCCCCACTTCCACTTCCTTTCCAGAAGCCCAGATTGATAGATTACTGAGGACAACCCTCTCAGATATATATACTTCCA